CGAAATGACACAACAAACTATTGGAACGCGATGAAATGATCTCATTTGGCAACAGACTGTTCACAATATTCCGGAGTATAGTATACATGAATAACCGACGCTGGATATTATTGCTTCCAATAGGGACGTCACTAGTGATTATATGCCAATAGGGCTTCCAATAGGGACGTCACTAGTGATTATATGGCCAACAGACTGTATACATGAATAACCGACGCTGGATATTATTGCTTCCAATAGGGACGTCACTAGTGATTATATGGCCAACAGACTGTATACATGAATAACCGACGCTGGATATTATTGCTTCCAATAGGGACGTCACTAGTGATGATATGACCAACAGACTGTATACATGAATAACCGACGCTGATATTATTGCTTCCAATAGGGACGTCACTAGTGATGATATGACCAACAGACTGTATACATGAATAACCGACGCTGGATATTATTGCTTCCAATAGGGACGTCACTAGTGATGATATGACCAACAGACTGTATACATGAATAACCGACGCTGGATATTATTGCTTCCAATAGGGACGTCACTAGTGATGATATGACCAACAGACTGTATACATGAATAACCGACGCTGGATATTATTGCTACCAATAGGGACGTCACTAGTGATGATATGACCAACAGACTGGCATGATGAGTATTGTTAGCCATACGTAGTGGACGTCCACGTTTTGCAACACGTTCCAAAAGATGTTCGTATAGGGAAATTTAAACGTATTTAAGGAAAAGATTGTCACAATATGTTAGTCCAAATCCAATTTCAGGAAGGTGTGTTTTCTTCTGAATTAGCAGAATCAAAGATTTCAAACCTGTGTCAAGAACTATACTTTATCACCTGATGAAGGAGTAAGGATATACTCCGAAACGTTGTGTTCCTCATAATAAAGAAGCTGACATAAATAAAAATTCTCTTCCTTATACCTTGTGGTCTGCACTGTGGGCTCTACATATGTAAATCTGTTTGAAGGCATTTAAATTCTTCCAGCGACACTGGGTACATTCTTTATCATATGGCACGTTCGGCCCACAACAGTAGAATATAGTGAGTGAGTTCGGTCAGTTGGGTTCAGCATCCCTTTGAACGGTATTCCAGCTGGCCTGTCCTCATATGGCCTACACCCCTTTTTGCCTACACCTCATTTTGTTGGTATTTAAGAGAGATTATACTCTGTGCATCGTATAAACATTTGTAAACATACAGTTTATTATATATCCATAAGCTGATCAAGTTCATTCTCCGGTGAGTGAGTTCATTATTATAGAGGTAGGACAGCATTTGCATGATGCTCAGTGGTCGTACATTTGTTTTGATAACAGTGTCAGCGATATGAGGTGAAAGCCAAATGAGGGCAAGTCTTCGAGCTATATATGGTAGGTAAACCGTGAAGGTTGCATGTGTCAGACGTTAAGAACTTCGGTGAAACCCACGGGCCGAAAAAGTTAGGAACACAACTGGGATTGAACAGGGATTCGAACAAGTGAAACCTGAAATCACAGGTTTCCGGACAAGGTGGCGCAACTCAGTGAGTGAGTGAGTAAGTTTAGTTTTACGCCGCACTCAGCAATATTCCAGCTACATGGCGGCGGTCTGTAAATAATCGAGTCTGGACCAGACAATCCAGTGATCAACATCATGAACATCGATCTGCGCAATTGGGAACCGATGGCATGTGTCAACCAAGTCAGCGAGCATGACCACCCGATCCTGGTAGTCGCCTCTTACGACAAGCATAGTCGCCTTCTGTGACAAGCATGGGTTGCTGAAGACCTATTCTACCCCGGATCTTCACGGGTCGGCGCAACTCAGCATTCTGTCGATGAATTCATTTGAACTTCCTACGAGGTGTGCTATATTTAAGGAAATTACATTGACAGTATTATTTTCTTCGTCTCTGCATTCTGCATTTAAGGATGTTTGATGGAATGCAGGTTTTCTCCAACTTCCATGTAAAGGATGCTGAGTTTCAGAGACGACACAATTCGAACAATGATATTGTGTTGATGCTTGATTTATACAGGCTCATTTTGAATTCGGATTCATTGTTTCTCCATCATAACTCAGTCGTTGTCAGAAGACCGTAAATTCGATACATTCAGTTTTCAAAAGTTCTGTGAAAATTGTTTTAACTGTAAAGTTAGATTTAATTCACAATCGCTTATTGGCTTTCAAAACTGGCATTAGCTTTGAAATTGGTTGTACCGCACCAAAGAATGGCCGCATTGATGGTTTCGTAAGAAAAAGGTTTTCAACTATGAGCAAATGTACTGAGCATTTTGTTGACAATGCATCTTCTTTTTACACATGGGCGTGGTCTTCATATTTAAAAAAAAACACACTCACACAGAAAAAAGTATGCACGCGCGAAACCGCGCTCACAAACACACAAATAGAGACAAAATTATATATCGTCTCTGTAGGGAAGCAATAGAGTCGAGATGATGTTTAACTGAAACTCATTCAATCATACCCAATACCACTGTAACAACATTTGACCATACGAGAGATTAGACATGATTGAAAAGGATTTTGACACATTAATGGACCGCGATGTTTTTGCTGATTGATTATATCGACAACGCACGGTCACACCACGCCCACACATCACAATACAACACCAACACATGAAATTGAAATGGAACAGGTATTCAGGACTAATTGTAAGAACGATTTAGGGATGTCCACTCGCATTTCCTCGATTGAGCAATTTCATTACGTTCATATGTCCACCTGAGAATTCTCATATAACCAATTTGATCACCCATTGATACCTAGGGAGTGCTTGCTTGTTAAATATTTATGATTCAGGTAAATGAACGTGAGTAGAAAATGACGAGAAATCACTAGTGATGTCCTGGAAATGGGGCATTCATCATGTAGCATCATGTGCGTAGAGGATAATAAACAACAGGGAGTTGTTTCGGTTCGTTTCCTGTTACCAATAAATCTCACATATACATGGTACAATGATGTTTCACTTAATCACTATTTCATTTTGTCTGAATTTGGACTGAAATTCCGTTCTACGACACCTATGACATAAAAATATAAAACCTATTTGGTTTAAGTGGATAAGCAGTTTTTACCTATTTAATACTAACTGCAAAACCCGAACAAGCAAACTCTACTAAACGTCTATGATTCCGACTATATCAGGAGAATGTGTTGATGAATCAGTATCAAATGCATTTGTTATTGCTCCTCACCACTGACACCAAGATGTCAGAGTAACCCTGAGGGAATTTAATAGCGATTTGTTGTGCATGTGTCATATTGTATGCATGTAGAACCTTTCTATAAAATTAACTCAGGTCAGCCTTTATATGTTCAATATGTCAGGAGCAGTTAAATGTGAACCGTCGAGTTAAGCAAAAACGTTAAAGATTTTCGATATTCAGCCAGTCCATGACATCCTGTTCAAGCCGTGTCAATTTGCTGCATGGCAACATCTGCGACATGAGCAATGTATATACAATGTGTACAGAGCATTACATGTTAAAAAGATGTACACACTGCCTGTATGACCAAACTGATACACCCCAAAAGCAGTTTGAGAGTTCCGATGCTGGTAACAGTGTCCAGTTACTTCTTTGAGTGACAATTTAGAACATGGGGAAGTACAATAATTATAGGGTACATTTTTTTAGCTTACTGCACAGACTTGTGACATTATCTATGACATTATTTATCACGTGCGTTAATACACTCCAAATGCGTTCTATATGGCTTTGGCATCTGCTCGTAAGGAGGTGACACGTGGTCCTTTAGCGTACGTCACAAATCAGCAAAATCGTTTTTATCAAGGTCCAGAAACAGGAACATGTATTTATATATCTGTACTAACCCCGTGACTTCAATTCTTTATCTTTATCTCTTTCTTTCTTCGATCTATTTTCTTTTGATCTTCTAGTCAATGCACACTGACTGAAAGAGAAACCTGTTTCGTTAATTCACAAATACTGAACGTCTTAACTTAAAAGGACAATGAGAACTCAGTTATTTAGGATGATGTTTGAACGTGATAGGTAAGTACATGTACGGTAAGGTAAGCTAACACATGTGAATTACCGCACACAGGGGGAAACAATTATTTCTTGCTGATACCAGCGAATTACACAAAATTATGTTTACATAATAAATATATGCAACGTAACATTACAATTACAATACTTTGGGTGAACTTTTAAAACTGACCGGATTACCGTTGTTTTACACTATTTTATAACTTGGTGACTTGACTATGTGCTTGCTGAGATTGTGGCCTCATAGTTTTTACCTTTTCCTTGGGAGATATGGAGGTGTAACATGGCCAGTAAATCATAAATGTGGAGCCTTAAACGAAATAAGAACTGAAAGGAAATGCTAAATCATCATCTCTGCGATGCTCCACTGATAGTGACCGCGGATAAATGCCAATGCAATGAAATTGCAATGAGAATTTGTTTATGAAACACTGCTGGACAGTGATGAGTCGGATTTCGCCAAAGGGTGTGCATATCTTGCCCACCAGTGCACTCGTCACAAACACATACAGAGGCATTGCTACGATTTATTGGACATTTCATAAATGCCACAATAAGGAATTACCATCATTTATGTCTCTGATTATTTAAAGTTAGAAATGCGTTCCACATAGTATAACACTTCAAGGGTTGTATGCCACTAGTACTCCTCGAATGGGCATGTTCGATGTTACGTCAAAAGTTATGAAATGTAACCACCAAAGGCTGGAGCTGCAGGCTTATTGCTCTTCATAAAAAGGAAGTTGACAATTGGAAACTTGACACTGAGTCATTAGTATGAACAGTTACATGACTGTCATTGATATATTGATGTTGTTTCATATCAACAAACGAACGATTGTCACTGCTCGTAGTTGTATCCGAATGTATAATTACAGTAGATTTTCCAATCTCAATGGCTCAGCATAGAGAAACAGGAGATATGTTTAAATGTTTGATGACAAGACTTTCACAAATCGCATTGAGCACCATCTGTCTGATAGTTAAGTATTGTTGACACCGTTGCTATGACAATGAGCATTGTCTCGTGAGACTGCCCCACAGCACAATGCGTCTGTTTGCCGTAAACACATGGACAGTCCCCGTGAGTCGATGATTATTTTGCGCCTCCGGATCATTCTCAGAAATCAAATGCTAACAGTCATATTAGGTGTACGGCCATAAGTTCCAGAGCGCGCTTGACTACTGGCAATATTAGTGCGCTTCCCAATCTCTACACAGTTTTTAGACCATCGATTGTGTGTGTCCCTAAAGTTTCTGAACAGTCCACGTGGTAGGCACGGAGCTTCAGACACAGTATATTCGATGGTTCGTGGAGCTACTCCTATGGCTGTTGTGGGAGTTGTCATTATTATTGGAATGTTCGGTAAGTCAACTATAAATCAAATGTTAGTTTCTGATTCTACATACGATGAGCGTCTTGACAAACCCTAATTGTCTTACTTTACAGTTAGTAACTATACTGGATGATTAACGTTGGTGCGTTTGCCGCTATGTGTCGTTAATGAAGCGCTCACGTAACTCCGTGTGATATATACCACAAGGGTATCAAGTTGAGTGTGCCTTATGTGTGATGCCCAGTGCTACCATATACGATCATATCATTATACAACACACATACATACTGACACAGTGACATGTTGTATGTGTCTGTGTGTGATACCCAGTGCTGTCATGTACGATCATATCATTATACAACACACTTACATATTGACATAGTGACATGTTGTATGTGTCTGTGTGTGACATGTACGATCATATCATTATACAACACACTTACATATTGACATAGTGACATGTTGTATGTGTCAGTGTGTGACATGTACGATCATGTCATTATACAACACTTTCATTTTGACATAGTGACATGTTGTATGTACCTGTGTGTGACATGTACGATCATGTCATTATACAACACACATACATATTGACATAGTGACATGTTGTATGTGTCAGTGTGTGACATGTACGATCATGTCATTATACAACACACTTACATATTGACATAGTGACATGTTGTATGTGTCAGTGTGTGACATGTACGATCATGTCATTATACAACACTCTTACATATTGACATAGTGACATGTTGTATGTGTCAGTGTGTGACATGTACGATCATGTCATTATGCAACACACTTACATATTGACATAGTGACATGTTGTATGTGTCAGTGTGTGACATGTACGATCATGTCATTATACAACACACTTACATATTGACATGTTGTATGTGTCTGTGTGTGACATGTACGATCATGTCATTATACAACACATACATATTGACATAGTGACATGTTGTATGTGTCAGTGTGTGACATGTACGATCATGTCATTATACAACACATACATATTGACATAGTGACATGTTGTATGTGTCAGTGTATTGACATGTGATCATGTACGATCATTATTATACAACACACTTACATATTGACATTGTATATAGTGACATAGTATACATGTTGTATGTGTCAGTGTGTGACATGTACGATCATGTCATTATACAACACACTTACATATTGACATAGTGACATGTTGTATGTGTCAGTGTGTGACATGTACGATCATGTCATTATACAACACCCTTACATATTGACATAGTGACATGTTGTATGTGTCAGTGTGTGACATGTACGATCATGTCATTATACAACACCCTTACATATTGACAGAGTGACATGTTGTATGTGTCAGTGTGTGACATGTACGATCATGTCATTATACAACACCCTTACATATTGACATGTTGTATGTGTCAGTGTGTGACATGTACGATCATGTCATTATACAACACATACATATTGACATAGTGACATGTTGTATGTGTCTGTGTGTGACATGTACGATCATGTCATTATACAACACTTTCATTTTGACATAGTGACATGTTGTATGTACCTGTGTGTGACATGTACGATCATGTCATTATACAACACATACATATTGACATAGTGACATGTTGTATGTGTCTGTGTGTGACATGTACGATCATATCATTATACAACACACTTACATATTGACATAGTGACATGTTGTATGTGTCTGTGTGTGACATGTACGATCATGTCATTATACAACACACATACATATTGACATAGTGACATGTTGTATGTGTCTGTGTGTGACATGTACGATCATGTCATTATACAACACACTTACATATTGACATAGTGACATGTTGTATGTGTCTGTGTGTGACATGTACGATCATGTCATTATACAACACATACATATTGACATAGTGACATGTTGTATGTGTCTGTGTGTGACATGTACGATCATGTCATTATACAACACACTTACATATTGACATAGTGACATGTTGTATGTGTCTGTGTGTGACATGTACGATCATGTCATTATACAACACACGTACATTTTGATATAGTGACATGTTGTATGTGTCTGTTTGTGATACCCAGTGCTTCCATGTACGATCATGTCATTATGCAACACACTTACATTGATTGATTGATTGATTGATTGATTGTATTTCGGAAATGTAAGCCCATAATTCACATACACAGTCATTTAATAAACTTGTAAGAGCACATTGTTATATAAATAATGACATATGACATTATTTGATTGTTTTGCCAACAACGTTTAAATATGTTTACATGATACATTTAAATCATTTACAAATGTTTTCAATCCAGTTTGGTCTTAATTTAAAGCTGTAAGATATAAAAGCTCCTAACTTCCAAGCGTATTGCTTGTTACAAATTGACATGATATTAGTAACATTATAATAATCTTTTACAATATGTATATATTCATTTCTTAAGTTTTCATACAATGGAGAACTTAAAAGAAACTGTTCTTCATCCTCAAGCAATCTTATTGAATAAATCTTTTCACAATATAAACACACTCTATTTTCAACTGAGATACTTTCCCAACGTCCTGACTCCATACGTAAATTATGGTTTCCACAGCGAAATGTAGTCAAAAACCTTTTAAAAAGTTAACACACTTACACATTGACATAGTGACATGTTGCATGTACCTGTGTGTGATAACCATTGTTTCCATGTAACAGTTTGTGATTCACCTGTGCCTTGTGTGTGTTAACCATAGCTACCCTTAACATTTTCTTTGTACGGTTTATATAGTAATGGATGCTTACATATAGGGCCATGCCATTATATACAACAGACTGACATGTTGTATGTGCCAGGTGTATGTTAAAGAACTTTTTACGAAATACTTCCATTTATTACCTACGAGGGCGAACATATCGGGGTTCATATTTTTCATTCCATGCCCTAGGGCATAATATCACTTTGTCATAGTGACGTGACGTCATGAACACTGCCAGCCTATGTTTGACAGTTTGGGGTTTTTTTCCTCAATTTGACGACTTCGGTAATAAACAGAATATTATATTCGTGCCCATATCATACTATGTTTACGACACTCGTGCCTAAATATCGGTATATCCCTCGCACCAACATTCAGGCACTCGTGTCGTAAACATAGTATGACATGGGCACCGTGTATAATATCCTCTATATAACATATCCATATAATATCTGACGTTTCCAAGTATGTACCTACATAACTGTTATCTTCATGGGGAACAGTTAATACAGATTTTGACTTGATATTTTGTCTACAATTGACCAACATGCTCGTAACATTGTTGTCAGCTATTGTATCACTAATTGTCGTAATGATCCATACTATACTAAACAACTTTAAAACACCACATTCTGATTTCTGAATTTACAGTGTGATTGCCTCAATAAACATGTGTGGTGATACTGCATATCAGCAGAAAACTTCACACTCGCATATGCTCATACCGATAAGTTATGAAACATGGGACATAACCGTTAGAGAGGTGGTGTTGTAATTTCTTCATTGTTTCCACAAGTAGATTGAAAAGGTATGTTTTCAGGTGCCAAAAAGTAACTATACGTTTATTTCACATTATCTGATATTTCTGGAAGGCGGAACATTTTAAGGACAAGAGTGATAGGGAGGCTTTCGACCTGGCAATCTAATGAAAGCAGAAAATTAAACCACATTTCAGTTGTCAAAACTGAATATTGAACTTTAATTGATATAAGACTTGAACTGCACGAGCTGTTAATGGACGTAGTCAAATTGGTTCGGATTACGGAAATTGCGAATGAATACGTTCAGTTTTAGATTTGTTAGCGTATCAATTACATACAGCTGATTTGATATCTGCATAAATGTGTGTGTGAATGTGTTTACACAATTCCAGCAAATCCCCCAATATATGTGCGGGAACGAACCACGGTCTTCCGCGCGACATGAAATCGCTTTAACCCTTCGCTTTTTACCTAATGTAGGTGTAAGTGGAGCAAATAGTTAACGGAAGCAAGTAGTTATGCTTATGGACAGTAATCATGTGTAGGGCTGTCTGTGGATGATGTATCCGACGTAAATGTATTGTGATGTTTCATAAACAGATTCCAATAGCATTCTCACATTTGCGTTATCTAGATAATAGACATAATGTTTTCTGCCAATTCAAACATGTTTTAATCAATACAATTATTACCTTTCATCGTTTTCTGAACGTGCTATTAACAACAAAATGATAAGATGACTCCAACCGACTGTGATTTTACTGCTTTACTTTGCTTTACTTTGCTTTACTTTGCTTTACTTTCAATGCTTCTTTATATAAAAACATCAAACCAAATATGACACATCAGTGCTGAACTAATCATTGCATGAGCTGTATGTTTATAGGGTTATACAGGTGTAGTGATGGGGTCATGTAGCTGTAGATATGATATATTATGAATATAAAGGTATTATGTATGCAGGAGGTATCAAATGTCACGGTGTGTTGCCAGGTTTATGGATATGACTGAATATTTCATGACCACGTACATAAGAAACATCAGTAGGGAATCCTCTTTAGTGTGGCATCCATGAAGAGCAACAGAAAGGATATTGATATGAAGCACAAAGAGCTTACATTTACCCTACAAGATGGGAACAATGGGCGTCATAAAGATGGCATATCAGCTGGGCAGTAAGCATTGCGAAAATGCGTATCCTTTGAACGTGAAATAAAGCTCTTCAAGATATCAATAACGTTTTGTATCATCATATATGCAAGTAATCAAATTACTAAAACAGGGGTCCTCAGACAAAATGATAGATGCTTGCAGTGATCGTCAACAAAGAATTAACAAAAAGAACAATACCACTTTGTACATTAACGATAGAACCACAGCTGGCTTAGTCGTTTAAAATGCTGCTATTTTATAGAACTACCGGCATTGATACCTAATGGCCACTTCAAACGGAACCCATGTTTGCCTCTCGTTGCAAGAATACTCTGTGTATTTATATAGGCCCAAATTTCGATCGTAT